ATGAAGTGATCCCTTGATTAGTCTATCACCCGTCTGGCTCTATACATAACCATTGCTATACTATTAACTTTATTCCCTGTCCTGTACTCTATGTCCCCGTGACTATTTTGTAACTACTAATTTGTACTTCTTCATTTCTTCACCTTTTTCACCCAGCACCCCAACCTGCTTTCCCTCTGGCAGTTACTAGATTGTCCTCTGTATCTGTGAGTCTGTTTTCATTTAGCTTGCTCCTTTTGTTCCTTAGATTCCACATACAAATGAAATCATATGGTATTTATCTTTCCCTGACTTATTTTACTCAGCATAATAACCTCTAGGCCCATCCGTGTTGTTGCAAATGATAGGATTTCTTTTCTTTTCTTTTTTTTTTTTATAATTGAGTAATATTCCATTGTATATACGAACTCTAACTTCTTTATCCAATTGTCTGTCAATGGGCATTTAGGTCGCTTCCATATCTTGGTTATTGTGAATAGCGCTGCCATGAACATAGGGATGCATAGATCTTTACGAATTAGTGTTTTGGTTTTCTTTGGATAAATACCCAAAAGTGCAGTTGCTGGTTCATATTTTCATTTTTTTGAGGAAACTCCAGACTGTTTTCCACAGTGGCTGTACTATTTTGCATTAACAACAACAGTGCATGAAGGTTCTCTTTTCTCTGCATTCTCGCCAACACTTGTTTTTTGATTTACTGATGACAACCATTCTGACAGGTATGAAGTAATTTGTCATTGTGGTTTTAATTTGCATTTCTCTGATGATTAATGACCTTGAGCATCTTTTCATATGTCTATTGACCATCTGTATTTCCTCTTTGGAGAAATACCTATTCAGGTCTTCTGCCCATTTTTTAATTGGATTGTTTTCGTTGTTGTTGTTGAGTTGTATGAGTTCTTTATAAATTTTGGATATTAACCCCTTATGAGATGTATCATAGGTAAATATCTTCTCCTATTTGGTTGGTTGTCTTTTCGTTATAAACAATCTTTTCCTCAAGTAATTTTGGGTGCTTTCCACATTTACCAATTTTCTAAAGGATGGGGGAGCTACAAGGCATGTGACCAGGGCCTGCTCTGTGCCCAAGGACCAGCCCTGCCCCCAAGAGTTCTGGGCACCGTCAGACACAGGGATGTAGGACAGCTAGCTGACAGGGGATATGACAGGAATATAAACATGCCATCAGCCCATAACCCCATATCCTGGGAACAGCCAGGCTTTGGCTTGATGGCTCCATGCCCTCCTCAGCCACCAATGTTGTCATTACCCAGAACTGTTCTACTTCTGCTCTAAAACAATTCCTGAATCTCCACTCTCTAATAGCAGCCTTTTCCCTTCCAGAGTTTTCATCTACAATTCCCACCATCCCTACCCTCAACCTCATAGGATTCCCCTGCGCCCTTCCCTTTTCACCTGTCCTCCCTCTCCTGAAGGCCCAGACCCTTTCCCTCACATCAGACACATCTTCCCCAAACCTACCAACCTCTCTCTCCTCTATCATCCCACTGCTCCTGACCAGGCTGGGGCACCCAGCTCTGGGTCAGGTCAACCTCCCGCTGCCCTCATCTCCCCAGTGAGGTGATTGGAGCTCCTACAAACTCCAGGCCTCCAGTTGCAACCAAACAGCCAGTGTTTGCCTCTCCTCTATCCCTAGAATTGTTCTAAACCTTCCCTGCTGTTCTCTACCCCATAACCTCTCCACCATACTTGGGACAAACAACCCAAATCCCATTTCTCTGCTCAGTTCTCCCTGCCAGAGGGAAATTGAGGGGTTGGGGGGAAGCTCACTCCCTAGCTGCAGCCAGCAGTGATTGGTGATTGAGCGCGGCAGGGGTGGGAGGACCCAGGCACTTCTCCTCAAGTCTGAGGCTCTGCCCGCGCTCTGTTTGAAGGCCTTCTCTGCCTCCTCCTGCTCCCTCTTTCTCTCTTTCACAGGAGTTACCTCCACTAAATCTCTTACACTTCTAACTCCATTAGGCATCTGCTTCCCAGAGAATTTGACTGACACCCGCTTTCCTGGCTAGTCCATCTGAATATTCACCTACCTTGGTTCCACCCTTGTGCCTTCTTGCACATCATGAAAGGCAGTTCTGCTGCCAGCCCAAGGCTAATCCTTTCGGCTGGGCTGTGGATCCGCCCCCTTGTTTGTCTCCCTCGGGACCTGCAGCCCTGGTAGCCATCATCTCAGCTTCCCGACCTTCTCCTTCCCTTTGCTGCCCTGCATTTCACCAGCCACTCTTCTTTCACCCAGTGTCACCAGGGCCACCAATGAACCCCAAATTGCTAAAATCTGGTACTTCTCAATGTTCGCCACACTTGATCTGTACTAAGCACCTTCTCCTCCCTGAACCACTCTCCTCTCCTGTCTTCTGGGACTCCATTCTGCTCTCTGCCTCCTTCCTCTCTCACTGCCTCTCACCCTCCTCATCCGCGCTGGCCCCTTTAATGACAGTGTTCTACAGGGTTTGTGTAGGATACTCACCTCCTCTCAGTCGGCTCTCTCTCTCCATGGATGCGGGAGATAATTCCCAAATGCTGACTTGCTGGTGACTACCAAATTCCATCTTTCAATCAGAAAATTTTCCTGAAGTTCAGATTCCAGCAGCCAACTGGTGATTGGTGATTGAGCGTGGCAGGGGTGGGAGGACCCAGCCACTTCTCCATTGGCTCTACTGTGTGTACCTCAAACCCAGCAAGTCCCAGGATGAACTCGTGGTCACCCCACAAAGCTGCTCCTTGGGGTTTCCACTCCAGAGAGTGCCACCATCATCCTGCGAGTCACCCAGGCCAGAAACAAGACAGCCCCTGCAGCCCTCCCTTCCAGGTGGTCACCAGGTGCTACCAGTTCTCCACCTATACTCCCTCCTGATCTGTCTGCCCCTTTCCTCAGCACAGCCACTGAACGTGGCCTTCAGCATTTCTTAACTGCACTGCTGATCTCTCAACCCAGAGTCTCGACTCTCACTCTGTCTCTCTATTATAGTTCTCAAATTGAGCTTTCCAAAAGGCCTGTAATTCGGGACCAGGAAGACTTCTGTTGCTCCCATTGTCTTTACCACTATTAGCATCACCATTTATCAAGCTTTCTCCATGTGCCAATTAAAACACTCTGGATCTGGTCTTGCCTTCCTCTTGACCCTCAAGGGCTAGCCTGATGAATCACCTGACACTTCCTGCAGGATCATGCCTCGGGGCTTTTGAGCCTTCCTCCCTCTACCTGGAGCACTCTCCCCGTTTCCTTTCTTGGCTAACTCCTACCCATCCATCAAACCTCAGATCAAAGGCTACGATCGCCAGGCACCTAAGTAAGGGTATCCCCCTGCTGCTCTTCCCTAGCATCCTCACAAAGCTCTGTCTACCAGGGGACTGATTGCCCCAGATCTGTTTCCCCCAGTACAGCACGGACTCTGGAACATAGCACTAAACAAATATTAGTAATGAAGTAATGTGCGAATGAACAAATAAATGAATTCTGCTTGGGTTGGGTGTGTTCACTACAGTGCTAATATTTGAGGTGAGTCCAAAAGAATGACTAAGAATTTGTGAAGCAAGAATTTGAATGGACAGTGACTGGCACGTGCAAGGCATGGAGGTTTGGGAGACTGGGGTGTATTAGGGAAACTGTAGCTAGTTCTGCAGCTGGAGCAGAGGTTGAGTGTGTAAGACATGCCAGAGATGGCTCGGGAGAAATGGGACAAGGGACAGCGACTATTGGGCTCTGGGAAGACTGACTTTGCCAAGTATACAACAGGGCAGGACATAATGAGTGCTTTAGATGCCATCAGGATGGCAGGCAGTGCCAGGCCATGGGGAGACTTGGGGAGCAGGTGATGGGGGTGTGATCCTGAGCAGGCCAGGGGACAGAGAGCAGGGGCAGAATTGAGAGGGGTTTCGATGGTAATGACCTGAGGCCAGATGAGATGTGAAAGTTTCAGGATGGTGACGCTGTGGTCTCACTAGGAGTCCCAGGTGGATGGTCAAGCCCTTCATCAAGACAGCAGATGGAGAGGGACAAGTTTGAGAGCAGGAAAATGAGTTCAGTTTTGTTTATAAGATAAGCCCTGAAAAGTGTACATTGGAAAGGGCCATCAGGTTTGAAGAGCCTTTCGAGGGCCCCATTCAAGGCAGAACTAGAGGGAGAGCGTTGGATCCAGGTGTGCTCAGATCACACTAGCTCTTGAGAGCTGATTGTTAAATTTTCAAGAATTTTGTGAGGCAGTAGTTAAGCCTAGCTATTATTTAAAAAATTAAATTATATAAAATTATAATTAGACAAAGATACATATTCAAAACTCACCACTTCCTAAGAATGTTATAATATTGTATCGTTTATGTTTTTAAGATTATTTACATGTTATGTCTGTGGAAATACTATATAATATGTAGTGTGCTTTTCCCACCTCTGAATTCAGTGATATCATATTGATAGCTTGAAATTGGCCATAGTGGGAATATTTACATCATGGAAGTTGGCAAACCCCACAAATTGGAGCTTGATTTATTGTTTTGTTGACTGCCTAGACTTAAGAGTTATAGAGAAAAAGTTAATAATGCACATTAAACTTAAATGTATTTGTGCCTGCAGCCATTACATTGTGAATGGCATGGAAAAATTGAGTATAAGTTCTTCCAGTGTTCAAAAACTATTATCTGGTTGGGTAAAGAAGCTGCTTATATCATTGGCAAATGATATAAATGAGTGAAATTCCAACATTGTATCATCTTTGTTTCACTTTTTCTTACTAGTGGCACAAACAAAAACATCAACCAGCTTTCACGTAGGAACTACACTCATTTGTCAATTATAATTATAGGTTGGTTATGGATTCGGCAGGTTGGTAAAAATCAGTGAAAGCATTTGTAAGACTCAATTTGCTCCATGCAATTTACAATAAAGAGTACTGTATATTTTATTATTATCTGTAAATTGCTAAACATCCTGCATGTCAATAAAATTTTAGTACACTTACGTATGCACTATTTTCTCTGCCACATAGGATGCCAGCCATATTCTGAGAGTGAGAGGCAGAGAAGAAGCAAGGAGCTGAGGTGGGTGAGGAGCAAAGAGAAGTGACCTGCGAGAACAAGGCTGAATCAGAAAGACAGGAGACAACAATAGCAGAATCATAACTGTGAGAGCTGGAAGGTGGGGTCAACCAGGTTCTGGCTCTGGGCCCGGCTACGAGGTAAGGATTTGCTTTATTACTCTCCCGGGACAATCCTAGGAGGAAACTGAGGCTTGGAGATGTTAAGTCCTCTATCTTTGGCCACAGCTGAGTCAGGATGCAAACTCAGGCAGCCAGGCTCTGCAGACACAAGGTAGGAGCCTGCAGAGCAGCCCCTTCCTTCTTAGCAAAGCTCCTCAGACTGTGTATATTGGAATTGCTCCAAGACAGAGATTGGCAGGGCACGTGTGGCCACATGTCGAAGACTCGAGGGCATCAAAAGGATTGGCAAAGCTGCCTCATGCCTCTGGCTCCGATTCATTGTCCACCTCCTAATATGTTCCTGCCACCACTCCACAGTGTCTATGGAAGCTAATAATATGAGTCAGGGCTTGCATTTTTAAAAATCTGCCATTTTTTTCCTAATAATTCATTCTTATTGTACTTTTAAAAAGTAAAATACGTAACAGATTGGAAATTTACAAAATTGGTGCTTCACCTTAGAACATTTGAGAAGCACTGTCCTAACTCACCCTTCTAATCACATTGCTCCCCGGCTGGAAGCCCTTGGTGATCCCCACGGGCTATAGCAGAGGCTTCAAATGGTAGGTGGGGACCAGTTTGTGATTTGGGAGCTTAACTTACTGTATCATTACCAGCATTAAAAGAAGAAAAAGAAACGAAGTAGAAAATATCAGAGTATACTGCATGTAGTAAATACATTTTGTTTCAGCTACGTATATAAATAAATATACACTTATATATTTAAATATATAATGATATTAAACATGACATATAATTATTATATATCATATGCTAATATTAAATATATAAGTATGTATTATATAATATATTAATATATATACTTTTATTTATTTATAGATAAGTATATATGTTTAATGTTATAATGCGCATGTATACTGGAGTATAATTAAAAAAAAGTCTTTCTTATTATGATCACAGTAAAAAAAAATTTAGATGTCACTGGTCTACCACATAAAGACAGCACTACCAGGCCTGACATTCAAAGCCATTGAGGAGAGAGCGATTGCTCAGGAAGAGCAGGCATTGCTTCCCAGGAAAAGAGCTTGGAGGATGTCCAGGTTATGGATGAGCAGAGGGAACAACATGAGTGAAGAGCTAGAAAGACCACGGCTGTCACGCCTCGATTGTGTCGGTGCTCCAACCCAGAGTGGATCTGGACCTGGCCTCAGGGATTTTTCAGGTGGCATGAAGATTGCAGTCCCTGTGATGACAGCTTATAGGAGGGAGCCCCTTAATTTGCCGGAGAAATCAAAGGAGACTTCCTGGAGGTGGTAACACGTTAGCTGACTTCTGAGGGAAGAGTTGGGGTTCACCATTGGAACTAGAGTGTGGGGAAGGCTTGCCTGGCTAAGTGAGTGGCTTGTGAAAAGACACAAGAAAAGCCTGTCATGTTTGGGGAACTATGAGCTATTTAGCATAGGTGGAGCGTGAACTAAGGAGGGGGCCTTCACGTGCCATCTTGAGAGTCAGGATTTTATTTTGAGATGAGGAGCCACGGAGGAATGTTAAGCAGAAGAATGGCATGAGTAGACTTACATCTCAGGATTCCGGCAGCCTTGAGGAGACTGGATTAATGGGGAGGGGACAGGAGGCAGGGAGACCTGCAGGAAGACTGTTGCAATAGTTGGGCCTGAACTAGGGCAGTGCGGGCAGAGAGGGAAGGCAGGAGGAGGAGCCAACAGAAGGTGGCCACCCATCAATCAAAGATTGAAGCAGGAAGAAGAGGCAGTTGGCGAGGGTGACTCCTGTGGTGCTGACTAGGGAACTGGCTAGATGGTGGTGCCTTTTGCCCAGATAAAGAACACAGGAGGCAGAGTGGGTCTAGGGAGAAGATAATGCATTCAGTGCTGAAAGTGACACTTGTAGTTGGACATGGCAGTGGGCAGCTAGAGGAGAGGAGTGAGGTTAGGCCAGGGAGACAGACTGCAGAGAGTGCAGAATGAGAAAGGGCTGTTGAAGGAAGCCCACAAAAGACTGAGTGGAGTGGTCTTTGAGGCACAAGATCCAGAAACTTGGATCACAGGAGCCAACTGGGCTGAAAAGACCTAGGAGTAACAGCAGCAATGAAAATGCTTCAGAGAATCAAATTCCTAAAGGGGCCATTGGATGTGGTCCTTGGGAAGCCACTGATGCCCTTGGCAAGGTTGCATTGGAGGGTAGTAGGCAGGAGCCAGCGGCTTTGGGAGTGAGTGGAGATGACACACTGAGGCAGAGAAGAAGCTGGGCGACACTTAGACCATATGGAACCTTTGTGTGAGTTAGAAAGGGGCGCCTCTTCCTCCAGGCAGATCAGCCCCTCATCATAGCACACTGGCCTGGCGAGAGGGTTGCAGGCTGGCCTTCAGCCCCCTCATGCTCCACCGTGCGGCATCTGCCTGCTATGGCCCTGTGAGTGCAGACCAGCCCTTCTGGAAACTGATTGGGAAGGAAGAAGAGAAGTAGTCATTGACCAAGGGGGATACGGGACTCTGAGAGGGGTTTATTTTCTAAGCTGTGAGAGGCTAGTGCATGCTGACTCAGATGAGAGAGGGGAACCCATAAAGAAAAAGAGAGTTGAGGACAGGGAGACCTGCAATGAGAAGCTGAGTGGGAGCCCAGGTGGGAGGGGGCGTACCTCTGGAGCGCTGGGAGCAGGGGCAAGGCTGGTACCACTTCCATGGGTGGTTGGGGGTGGGGGCGGAGGCTTGTGCGCTTACCTGGAGCTGGACCCAGTGTGCAGCCTAGTGCTGCAGGTCACTTAGCTGAGAATCTCTGTGATGGAGCATGGGAATGGACACTGAGCAGGGACATTGAGACGTGGCTGAGACTGCCTGTTCAAGATGGCCAGCAGTTCTGGTGCCCAAGAGTGGGTGATATGCTGACTGCTTGGGCAGCAGGCCTAGAACTGGGCAGGCCAGGTTGGGGAGGGTCTTATTATTTTACTGTCTACTATGGTAAATTTACAGACTCAAAAGTTGTGGGAAACTCAAATAAATGTTCCTCATATACCTATTATTTAGCTTCGGCAATTATTACTATCGTCGATGTTATTTGATGACATCCCCCTTTAAGTATCTTTTTGAAAACTTTAAAAATTTTTTAATAGAATTCACTTTTTAGAGCAGTTTTAGGTTCATGGCAAAATTGAGCTGAAGATACAGAGATTTCTCGTATACCTCCAGTTAAAAACTTTTTTATTTGGAAATAACTTTAAGCTTAAAGAAAATTACAAGAACAATTTACTTTTAAATGTTTTTCTGATTAGAGAATATATTCTCAGAGTGTATATAGAAGAAAATTGAGATCATTCATGATTTTCACCACCGAAAAATAAGTACCATCATTGTTTTGGTATATTTCCTTTCAGCTTTTTTTCTATGCTTATATACATATTTTTAATTGGACTGTTTTATCCAGAGACTAACCCCATCCCCCAGAGCCCTCCTGTCTGGTGTGTTCACACAAGCCGTTCCATGACCTCCACCCCTAAATCCCTCCACAGAGAGTCTGCTCTGCAAGCAGCAATCGATCCAAGTGTGTGGTTTGTGGGTGTCCTCTTTCCTTGGTCTCAGTGCTAATGCAGGTTTCCCCTTTAACATTTTCTTTTTTTTTCATTTTTGTTTCTCTTGGGTAATATTGATTGACTTCCGGTGGGACAAGTTGCCCCATGCTCCTGGGGCCACAGTCTTGCTCAAATCTCACATTCATTTCCCTGCGTCTGAGTCTGACTCCCCAACTCACCTGAGCGCTCTGTGAGGGTAGGGCTCAGGGCTGACTCATCACTCAATGTGAGGCAGAGTTGGCCTGAAGAAATATGTATGGAATTGAATCAACCCACTTATTTGGCATTGCCCATCTCTATCTATGCTGCAGGCTTTCGGAGTGACTTACACTAATTTATGGTCACTAGCATGGTTTCTGGCACACAGTGGGTGCTCAATAAATGTTTGTTACTGCTGCTACCAATAATTTGGATATGTGCACACATAGTAGGGCTCAGCTGTTCTCTCTTCTGCACCTTCCTGCATCCCCCTCCTTCTGGATGGTAATGTGGAGAGAGACCACTTTGACATGCCAGAGGGAAGGTGCCCCCATTTTGTCCCCCATCTTTTATAAGTTAGGAATAAAGCTAAGCTGGCAATAGATTCAAAAGAAATAGTTCCCTGTGCTGAGGCTAGTTTATATGTTTGCATTGCTCACAATACCAGTTATCATTAACAGCAATTAAAACTATTTCAGGACCAGTTCAAAGCTGCCTTTGAGGAATTTTAAGTTGAACAGAAGTCTTCCATGTGTCTAGCTCTGAGCCAAGTTCCCTGGTGTCATTAGAAGCCCACTTGTATTTGGAGTCTGTATATTTTGATTGCCTGGACATTTCATAAATTTCAGAAGTGTTTGTCAGAAGTGGGCTAATGGTGCCACAGCTGTTTGAATTGTCTTACAAGTTGCACTCTCAACCTCAGTTAAGTGGAGGGGACCGTGAGATGGGAGAGGAGGAGGGGGATCTGCATAGGGTCTTCCCGTAGAGCCAGTCCCTCTAGCCACACAGAGCACCTAGGCCTCTGTGGCCTGGAGGAAGGGTGGCCGAAACCGAGTAGAAAGGGATGAGAACTTGGTCTAGGGTGGGGGCATCAGGAATTGGGAAGAAGGTAGGAATCCAATTTGCAGGGCCAGGCTGTGAGGAGGGGAGTAGGGAGGCCTTCAGAACACCTTAAGTAACCTTCAGATTTGGTTGAAAGATAAAAACAGAGAAAGAACTGGTCTTGACATATTGGACTGCTAGAGAGTTAGTCAGCAACTTGCTCTGACCAACTCTTTATTGGCCCTGGCCCTGACCCTGGGCCTGGACGGCTGGTAATGGCTTTGGAGCCCGGGATCACTGTTCCCTAAACACCCCCCGGATCCTCTAGGGCCTCATTTGGCACCAGGCATCGCTGCCTGCTGACGGAGGGGGTCCAGCTGGTGGGTTGAACTGGATGGCTTCCAGGTGGAAGAGTTCTGAACTGGGTGATAAGAAAGGGTGAAGGGTGACCCAAACGGGAGGAAGAGATTCTGGAACAGTGGAGAACTGAGGAATGGCCCTGCCGGCAGGAGTGCCCTGTCCCTCAATGGCAACACGAACCTGTTCAGTGAGGGCTGTGACAGACCGAGAAGGGGGAACAGTCAAGGAGCAAAGCTGTCCTGCCCAAGTGTCTTTGGCTGTGACTGACGTGACTGCTGGGTTGTTTCTGTTTGGGAACTGTGCCGTTGGTCATCTGAGGGCTTGTGGTTTGGGAAAAAGGAAACTGCTGCTGCCTTAGGTTCCCCACACGCTTTGCTCAGAGCCCACCCAGACTCCCTAGGACTCTGATCTTCTTCCCTAACTAGATTTTTGTGCACAATTCACCTCTTTGCCCCTTTTTTCAGCTTGAGGTCCTGATGCCATATCCCACTGAAGCAGAATGCTGGAAGCGGCTGTGGCGCCTGCTCCTAGGAGTTGTGCCATCAACCCCACGCAGCCACACACTCACACCAGCTCTGAGACCAGGGCCGCAGGGTGGACTGGGGCTGGAGGTGAGCAGGTAAACAGGACCTCGCTCGTGGCAGCAAGTACTCAGAGGAGGGAAGAATGAAGAGAATCATGTCCTTGGCCCCACAGTGTGGACAGGGGACAGAAGGTAGTATGACCCACTTTCATAGCAGCGTGGCTGTGACGGGCTGCTTCAAGTGGTGGGCCTGCACATACACGTTGGTCTTAAACTCTTTCAAAACTGTGTGGTTAAACAGCTGTATCCTGTTTTCATTAGCTTGTAAGCCACGGTGATAGAGACCTACCTAGTTTTCTGAGCCAGCAAGTGTGCCTAGTGGCTAATAAACAGCAGGTGCCTCCAATAAATATGATTTTAATACTCAATGTAAATGTATGTGCACATAAATACATGAAACGAAAGGTGGGAGCTGAATTCTATATGCCACTTACAGAATTTCTTAGCTGTTTTGAACTGAGAACTGTAGTGTGACTGTGTGTATAGTGTGTATTTTACATGTGCATGATGTATGTACAGTGTGTTTTTGCAGACCCTATATATGAGTTGTGTGTGGTAAGGAGAGTGTGTGTCTATGTGTATATGTTTGTGTTGTGTGTGTGTATGTGTGTGTGTGTGAAGGGAAGTCCCCATCAGATTGGTTGGAGAACAAAAACAGCTACATAATTTACAGAGCCTTGTGCAAAATGAAAGTGTGGGGCCCCTCATTCAAAATTATTGGGAATTTCAAGACGGCAACAGCAGAGCATCAAACCAAGCTCGGGCCTTTCTGAGTGAGAGCCCCTTGTGACTTCGCAGGTCAAAGGCTCATGAAGCCGACCCTCGTTGGAGAAATTGTGCCTCCTGTCCCCTCAATCTTCTTTTGCTGCCTTGAAAAGTCATTGAATCCCCCTTTGCTCCCTCCCCATCCAGCTGCCAGGGTGACCTTGACCTTGGGAGTGTCAGGAGCTTGCAGCCTGAAGAGGAGCTGCAGCAGCTGGCCTGTGTGCTGTGGGGCTGGTCTGCAGCTTTCCTGACTCTTTTCAGTCTGAGCCTCACCAGGGCACCCCGATCTATAAGGGTGTCTCTCGGCTCTGCTCAAAACTATCTGAGAACCTTCAGATCTCCTCTTAGCCCACCCTTTATCATGGGATTCTGCCCTCCACCCTTAGGACTTGAAGGCTTCAGGCTCCTCCCCAGTGTGATGTGCTCCCAGAAGTCATCAGGCCCCGGAAACAGTACAGAGGAGGAGACACGTGGTTTCCGGTTGCATACCCACTGCTCGCCAAGGGCTTTAGTACTCAGGGGTCCTAATGGGCCCTGCCCTGGGGAGAAGAAATGGCAAAGGGGAGCTGGGGCCACTTCGGGCTGGCAGAGTTCACAGCCCCGAAATCTCAGTGAGGAGGTGTGGCGGGTGGGGACTGCCTCAGTCCTTCCTGTTTACTGCCCTGATTTGCCTCCTCTTGGGCTAAGTACCGTGTGCCTGCTTTAGAACACACTCAGGAGATGCTAATGGGTAATAATGAGGGTGTTCCCACCCCAATACCTATACTTGTCAATAATTAGCCACGATTTCTGAGGTTCTGGGAGGAGGTACCTGCCCCAGCTGGTTTAGCTCAATTGGTGTACCAATAGCATAGCAGTTTTGAGGTTCCTGAGTGGTTCTGGGATGTTCTGTGTGTGGGCATCTCCCAAAGGTTAAGGGAACTTGAGAACTTGCCTCACCATGTTCCTGATCCTAGCCAGAGACTGGTCCCGAAACTCAATCCCTTCCAGCTCTCCTAGTAACCACCAGAGCTCTGTGTGCTTCAGTCTTGGGGATCCTAGATGGGACTGTGAACAGCTAGCCTGGAGGGCCTCCCTGAGGAGGGCTGCCCGCTTCAAGCCAAAGGACCCAGAAGTGTAAAGGTTGTGGGGGAGCATGGGGCACGGCAGGCTACAGAGGGTATTTGGGACAGGTGGTCAGGCAGCAGTGGAGATTGCTATAAACTTGTTAATCATAGGTCATTGGCTTAATTTGCCCCAGAGAGAGTGACCAAGGTCCGCATGCAGGGGTGTGATGATAATTGGGTTTCCAGAGGGAAAAAAAAGTCCTGATTTAGAATTTTCCAGTTTCTGTGGTGTAAATACGTCCAGAAAATCCAATTCCAAGCTACCAGTTGAACAACCAGCTCACAAAATTCTTGAATGTTTAACAATCAGCTCTTGCTCACTGCCCACTAGATTGCTGTCCCCATTAGAGGCCACCAATAGCACAAGCCCCCAGGCCCTATCTGTGCACCTCCCTAAGCCCAGTTTGCCCACTCCCTGACTTTATTTGCAAAATGCCCTTCTCCATGCATTGGACAGCTTGGGGCCTGAAGCAAGCCATCCAGCCATTCAAGCTCCTTGTGCTTCAAATCCTAGAGTAGAATGGACTGGTCTGCCTCGAAGGTTGTCATGATGATCACTGAAGTGATAGATGTGAAATGACTTTGCCAAGTGTATACCAAACCCAATCAAGTGAAGTGCCACCACCCAAGTTCCAGCGACCACCTGTTTCTAGTTCAGAGCAATGGTGAGATCTGACTTCAGTGTCTACCACAGCGGTTCACAGCTTGGGGCATCTAGCAGTCCTAGTTTGCCAACTGATGAGTCACTTTGCCTCTCACCTCCCTCGGTCACATGCCAACCTCCTCAAGCATTCTCACTTCCAAGGGACCAGGTGTGTGGGGTGATGAATACCAGGGAGCCAGGAAGCCACTAGGTCAGGTTGCTGGGTCACAGAACAAAACCTATCCCAGGGCCGGGAGTCTGTCCGCAGAAGTCCACTTATAGAAGAGGCTTCCTGGTCTTGCGGGTGGCAGGGACAATTCTCTGGGTGCAGATTTTCTTATTATGCAATCTTCTTGGAGACCCATCTGCCCTTAACACCTTCCTAGTGACTCCATTTCCCCATCCCCTGGGCTCCTGGAATGGTACGATGGCCCCACCTTAGCCTGGCAGCTGTGATGAGAGGTGTTGACCCAGCTGCCTCTCTGCTGGCTCACTGTGTCAGGTGGAAGGGGCCGAGACGGCAGCAGGGAATGAGGGCCTTTTGGCATGGTTGGGGACTTTGGACCGACCAGAGGGAGGACTGGGGCCAGGGTCTTCTGGGATTCAACCAGGCACTGAATGATGAATGGTACAGAGAGTGAGTGAGGAACAGGCTTTAGGCCAGGAAAAACAGCCCAGAGCCACAGGTGTGCTACCGGTTCTTGCTCTTCTCCTGTCTTAATCTCACCTGTTTGGTGACAGTGCTCAAACAGGCCTGGTGCCCAGCAGAGAGCACCTACCGCCCTCAGTAAGTTTCTATAGGGGCTGGAGACAGTCACGCATGCCTGATATGTGTGAGCTTCATGTCCCGGTTCATCGCAGGAGACAGACTGATGAACAAAGCAGCACAACACACGCAACATGTGCTCGCCTAGGAGTGGGTAGGGTAGAGGGCTCCATGGATGGGGCGACATTTGTATGAAGTCATAAAAGTGGGTCCCTTCCAACAACCCCAGTTTCCCTGCACAGGCCCAAGTCGGGCTCCGGCCCTAGGGCTCACAGATCTGCCTTCTGGGCATCCGCGGGGTGGGCCAGGGCAGCCCCGCATCCCCATGCCCCAGCAGGAGTTCATACATCCAGCCTCCTCCAGCCAAAGCCTAACAGAACCTCACTGCTGGCTTCACCAACACTGCAGACATTTCCCCCTTTCAGAACCAAAGGGAGTGAAATTTCCTGGATGCTCTTTTCTTAAATGATCAGATGTGTGTGTGGGAGGGAGGGGGCTGCGGTCCCGGTGAAGGTGCTCTCGGAAGGTTCCTGGAAGGTGAGGGGGGCCATCAGGGGAGGAGACGACACATGTAGAGTGCCCAGAGGTGAAGCTGGAGCTGGCTTCCGGCATCCACTCCCTGTTCGAGATCTGCACCAGGCCACTTCAGGGCCTTAATGAGGGCACAAGGGCCTAGCCCAGAAAAGTGTTGACTCTGAATTAGGTGTGATCGATGAGGGAAAATTACTGCGGCGGTCGAATTCATGGAAAATGCTTGAGTGTGTATGTCTGTCATTTAAAACCTTGTCTGTGCATTCTTGATTCTGGGACCTTCCTCTATCTCCCTCTCTGGGGTCTCTTATGGGATTCTATACTTGGTTCAGAAGGTAAGAGAAACACCTACCCTGTGCCTCACGCATAGTAGGGGCGCAATAAATATAAGCTCCTTTCTTTAACCACTCGAAGTGGTTAAAGGGGCTGAGGGCAAAGGGCTTCCCCAGTCCAGAGGTTGATGAGCCTCTGGTTCCTACCTTCCCCTTCCTTCTCTAGCTGGTGACAAACACGTGGATGTCATAACATCCTCCATGTCTTTATCTGTTATTCTGGGGTACAAGCTGAGGAGGGTACCTGAGTACGTCCCCTGTGACTGAGGCTGGCTTTTCTTGCAACGTGGGCTTGCCTGTGGCAGTCCCGTGGATGGATGCAGAAGGGAGAGGCACTGATCCTGCTCGTTGGGCAGGATGCTGGCAGGAGGGCGGGACTATCAGGGGGTGGAGCTTCCAGAACAAAGGAGAATGGGGAGGCCTGAGGGCCCAGGATAGGCATCAAAAAGGCTCTGCAGAGTGAGCTGGCCACAGCAGCTGCCCGCCTCTGCGCCCAGCAGTTGGTCAGACAACCAACCCGCGCCTGGTCCCTTCTCCCTGCCCCAGGCCGGGTGCATAAGCAACACTCTGCTTCGAGAGGCCCTGCTCTCCAGCGTGATTGCGCCGGCACTGCTCTGTGGCTTTCTCTACTTGGCGTGGGTCGCCGCTGCGGTTCCAGAGAGAAGGATGGCCGGGAGCGGAGCTGGGAGCCAGGAAGGCGGCCGAGAGCATGCCTTCATCCCAGAGCCTTTTGATGGAGCCAATGTAGCCCCCCACCTCTGGCTGCACCGCTTTGAGGTCATCAACGACCTCAACCATTGGGACCGCATCACCCAGCTAAGGTTCCTGAAAGAGTCCCTCAGGGGGAATGCCCTGGAGGTTTACGGTGGACTCAGCCCGGAGGACCAGGAGGACTATGGGGCTGTGAAAGAAAGCCTGTTGAAAGCGTTTGGGGTGGCGGGGGCCGCCCACAGCCACCTGCCCAAGGAGATCGTCTTTGCCAACAGCATGGGTAAGGGCTACTATCTCAAGGGGAAAATCGGCAAAGTGCCCGTGAGGTTCCTGGTGGACTCCGGGGCCCAGGTCTCTGTGGTCCACCCGAGCTTGTGGGAGGAGGTCACTGATGGCGACTTGGATACCCTGAGGCCCTTTGAGAATGTGGTAAAAGTGGCCAATGGGGCGGAAATGAAGATCCTGGGCGTCTGGGATACAGTGGTGTCACTGGGCAAACTGAAGCTCAAGGCAGAGTTCCTAGTGGCCAATGCCAGCGCTGAAGAAGCCATCATTGGTACCGATGTGCTCCAGGACCACAACGCCGTCCTGGACTTCGAGCATCGCACCTGCACCCTGAAAGGGAAGAAGTTCCGCCTTCTGCCCGTTGGAGGGTCCCTGGAAGATGAGTTCGACCTGGAGCTCATCGAGGAGGAGACCCCGGAGGAGGGCGGGCAGCAGCTCTCCTATTGAAAAGTCCCCATTTCCTTATCCCCCCGCCAAAATTGGCAGAAGACCCATCACATGGAGGGGGAAGGCATAGGTCCTGAGGGAGTCACGGGCTTGGCCCAGCCTCTAAAACTAGCTCTTGCCCTCCTCCTCCTCCCTCTGCAGGGGCCTTACTCTGCCCCTGGTGGGGGAGGCTTCCATTTGAAAAGGCACAGGTGAGGGAGAGCAGGCTGGCTTTCTTAGAGGGAGAGAGGGTCCTCATGGTTGTCAAGCTAGCAAAGACTTGAAGGCTGGAAGAAGGTTGCAAGAAGGCTAGAAATGATTGTCTTTGAGAGACGATTGGGGCGGGGTGGGGGGGAGGGCCTCTTTAATCCCCTGAGACATGACTCAGTCACCTTCAGGTCTGTGCAGCCTGAATCAGCGTTGAGTGCTGGCTGCAGAGTCCTCCCGAGCAAGACCCAGCTCTCTTGGCTGAGGGTCACAGCTACTTGGGGATTCTTCTTTGTTGGGGCTTCCCACCTGCACCATGTATGTTTACTTCTGTCATTTGCTTTGAAACCCATGGAGCTTTGTGCCAATAATTCATTACTTCTAAAATCAATAAAAAATTGACTCATAGCAAAACCATGTAATGTGTTGATTGGAGATGAATAGGATGGATGTGAGAGGGTGAGGAAGACGGAGTAAATGTCAAAGAGAAGGAAGATTCCAATACTTACTGAGTGACTAGCCTAGATATAGGAGGATATATGTATAGACTGCATATCTTAGATTTTATAACAGCCTCGATTTCAAATATTATGACTCTATATTTCCTCTATAATTCCTGCCATTATTTCTAATTCACTCATAATTCCTCTAATCATTTCAAATTACAATATTTTAGCATTCGAATTGCCCCTTTCACCCCGAAGTGACCCTAAAGTTATTTGTGAGATGTCTTGATTGGAGATTGAAAAATTATGGATATTGTAAATAAATGGGAAAGTACCTGCTTGGCAAATAGGTTCTTACAGCTGCCTGGGAGCCAGGGCTTGGAGGCAGAAAGCGAGGCCAGGGGACAAGTGTTGACCTGCACGGGCCAGTCCAAGGGAGTTCTGGAGGACAGAGGAGGTGGCAGTGGCTGGGGACTCTGCCAGGGACGGATTCTTCCTGGAGGGACTTGAAATGAGCCTGAAACTAGAGAGGCGGGATGGAGTGGGGGGACATTCTCAGATCTGGGAATGGGGTGCCCAGCTCTTTTAGGGTCTACCTCATATTTGTTTCCAAATGCCTGCCTCTCTCTCTGAAACTCAGCAGGGCCAGGAATCTGAAAACCCCTAACCAAAAGGGGCACTGAGGGTACAAACCTTTAAGAGCTTTTGATAGGAGGTGGGAAGGGCCACCTTCCCTTCATGATGGTGGAAAAAGCCTTTTCTGGTTGTTTTGACCTGTACATCCCAGAGGAAGAAACAAACAGCTTGCCGGAAGCCTCTGGGGACTTGCCCCTGGACGTCTCTAAGCTGATCTGTGCCGAGAGCGGCTGCTCCCTCCTTGAATGCCAGTTCTGATTCTCCTGGAACTGAGGCAGCTGCCCGCCACTTAGCCTCCTGATTACTGAAGCCCCAGCCCTGGGCAACCTAACATCTTCACAGGGATGAGCTCATCAGCCCCAGGGAATTTGGGGCAATAGGCGGAGCTAAGTCAGGAGGAAGTCTTTTCCCGAGAAAGTGAGGCCTGGGGAAGAGGTGGGTCCAGCAAGAGGCCTGGCAGTTGAGGTAGGAGAACCAGAGGAGGAGACGGGAGAACTGGGGAAAGAGGTGGTCTCCTTGTGTCCCCCAAGTCTCTCGTCCCCCTTTCCAAATGTGGTTTTCAACCCCTAACAAAAGGTGCTTCTCTCCTAGGCCAAACCTTCCTGAGGGGACAACACAGGTGGCACCTCCCCGTGGTCTATTTCCTCTGGATTCTTCACCTAGCCACATACTGGGCTGAAGGCGGGAGGGTGAGGAGCGGGTGAGTGGGCAGGCGGGTAGGGGAACGGGGAATTGGGTGCCAGGCTAGAATTCCAGGACACCACCCAAGTTGTCCCCTCGCTGCCCTTCTCTATGCATGGCAGGCTGGTGAAAAAGAATGGGTGACTTGTGTCTCAGCTGCGGTGACCTTTCCTCCCATGTTCTGAGGGAGGAGAGCTGCTCGGAGCCAGCAGGCTCTCAACCAGATCTCCCGGAGGAAAGTGAGCACCCAGGGTGGGCTCCATGAGAGGAGGAGTCTATGACATCTGCGGCACAGGCCCCCATGGAGGAAGGAACTAAATGGTGGTTCTTACCTGGAGCACCTTAAGTCTAAGTCTCACTTACCCAAGTGAGACTTAAGCCAGGTGTTGCATGTGTGTAGGTTGTTACCAGCGCAAATGTGTGGAGGTGGAACCTGGGCTGCAGGATGGAGGCCGCTGTTCTCCGTGGGAGCAGAGTATCGAGGGGACTCCTGGAGAGCAGCCAGGGAGTGGGTTGTAGCCACATTGCAGAGGGCTTGATGCCTGAATAAGGAGCTTGCACTTGACTTGCATGCAAGTATTTGAATGGTGGAGGACCAGGAAGATATATCTGGCTTCTAGGTGTAGGATGGAGTAAAGCAGCAGGAGCAGCAGCAGCAGCAGCAGCAGCAGCAGCAAAGAATCCAATTTGAAAGCTATGGCAGATTTAGGGTCTGAGTTTGAGATTGTGGAAAGGAGGCGACAGAGGCAGACATTGATGTAATGACCTAATCCTGGCTACATGTTAGAATCACCTGGGAAGATCAATTAAAGCTGGTTCTTCCCGTGTTCCTAACGAGCAGCCAGGCTCGAGAACCCCTGGCCTAAATCCCAGCTGTATTTACCCTGTTGCGACCCAAAGGGTGATCCTCGGAGCAGCCAAAAGGCAGCATGAGTATCAGCTGGGAGCTGGTTAGAAATGCAGAATCTCATCTCTTCCCAGACCTGTGCTAGAATCTGCATTGAACTAGATCTCCAGGTGATTCTCCTGCCCAAGAACGTCTGAAAAGCCCTGGCCTAGGACATTCTGATCCCACTAGTTAAGGGGCAACTCATGGTCCCCACAAGACCCCTCTTCTCTAGTAACAACCACCACACAATGCCTACTGGTTTCCTCGACAGTGCTCGATACTGCCTCATGCTTTTGTCAAGCAAACATTTATTTTTAATCTTTTGTTTTGAATAACTGTGGACTTACAGAAAAGTTGCAAGAGTAATACAAAGAATTTCCGTATGTTTTACCTAGTTTCCCCAAATATTAACATTTTATCAATTAACATTATTCAATCTCACTCTCATTCTCTTTATATGTATCTATATGCACATGAACTGTTTGAAAATTGCAAATATACATTTATTTTTAACTTGTTTATTTACTAAAAAATAAGAAATTCACTTATATGAGCACAATACAATGATAAAAATCAGAAAATTAACGTTGTTGTAACACTATTACTATCTAATCTGTAGAATTTTGTAGCAAAGAAAACAATTGTTTTCTGGTCCAGGATTCAATTCAGCAACACATTGCATTTAGTCGTCATGTCTCTTTCGTCTCCTTTAATCTGAGCAAATCCTCAGTCTGTCTTTGTCTTTCATGACCTTGACATTTAAAAAGAGACCTGGTCACTTATTGTGTAGAAAGTGAATCTACATTTGGGTAACTGATATTTTCTTATGATCAGATTCAGGTTAGGCATTTTTGGCAGGAATACCCAGAAGTGATGTGTTCTCAGTACATCATATCAGGCCAATATGTTCCATTACTGGTGATGTTAACTTAATCAACTGGTCAACTTGGTGTCTGCCAGATTTTTCCACTGTAAGCTATTTTTCCCTGTGTAATTAATGGGTGTCTTCTGGATTGATTCTATGAGGAATATAGTATATATTACATATGATATATAAATCACCTGTTTCTCAGTAGACTGGCACCCACTAGATCCACTGATGATCCTAAACGAAGGCTTTCCCTTCCTGTCTATTTATTTATTGATATCATTGTAGACTTATAGACTCTTACTTTATTCAATCAGTTATACTCTGTTACTATCGTTGTTTATTTTGATACTCAAATTTTTTTAGGTTTGGCCTCGGGAGCCTCTTCAAACTCGCTCCTGTCCTCTTGGGACATGTCCTGATCATAACCTGAGCCCTTATTTTTTGTCACAAGATGTTCCAGGTTCATCTTGTATCTTCCCTGTGCCAGCCCTAGAATCAGTCATTTCTCCTAGGAGCGCTGGTTCCTTTTGGTGGAGTCTGGTATGCAGAAAACGGGATCTGGGTGTTAGGTGTGCTCATTGCTGCTAGAGTGTCATCCGTATATGTTTCTATATCTATTGCTCTCTATATTAAAATTTTGAGTTCCTACTGATACCTCCTATTTCAGCCCAGCACCATGGGGCTTATTCTAACCCTCCCCCTTTCTATATTTGTAACTTCTTTCTCCAACAATGAGAAACCTGGCTCCAGGTTACTTATTTGCTCAATCTTAGAATACCCAGAAAGTAATTTCAGAATTGCCAACCCATATGCCTATGAAAAACCAACCAAGAAGCAACCAGTTATTAATCACCTACTCAGTGCCAGGTGTGAGTTGTCCTTGGCAGCAAACAAAGATAAATTATGAAATCAGATTGCAGTCATCCTAAAGATTTAGGTGCTAGTCTGAAGGTATTGGTTTATCTTGAGGACACAATGTGTCCATCAAGAGAGCAGCTGGAGTCAGAGACCAAAGGCTACAAGTCCTCTTGTGAAGCCAAGGGAGTGGCCAGCCTCCACGGCCCAGAGAGGTGACCTGGCCTGCCCACCTGGTCTTCAGCTACTGAGGACACACTGAGGCAGCTGTCAGAGCTCACGCCACCACACATTCCAGTCCCATCAGTCACTGTCCTATCCCGAGTCCCCTGTTGCCAAGCAACCCCTGGTAATAAACACAGCTCTCCTGGCTGGGCTGCAAGGAGGGCAAATTCTGGTCAGGCCACTCTGACCATCAACTCCACCCAGCTGTTCT